GTACTACCGGGCGCTGCTGTGCGCTGTAGGTAGGTGACTGGCACGCGGGCTGCGCGTGCTGGGTTGACTGGGCGCTCAGGCGTGCTGTCGGGCAATGCCGAGGCCCGCTGAGTATCGCTGGCACGCTGCTGGGCGTGCTGGCGTGCGTGGCGACTGGCCAGTGTGCGTAGAACGCTACTGGCATGCGTACGGGCGTCGCAGGACACGCTGCTGGGCGTGTGATGCGTTGCGGTGTACGCGGACTGGCTAGATGGACGCTGCTGTGGTGTTGACGTGCACTGTGCACACCTACGCGCATGACTGCTGTAGAGCGGGACTTAACCGCGAGGTACTGGCAACGCGTGCACACTACTGGGCGTGCGGACGCTGCCAGTGTGCCCGCTGGGACTGCCGGGCGTGCCGCGCGCCCGCTATGTGCGGACAAGCATCACGGTCGGCCTTTCGCCGGCCGTCCGGCTACTTTTTCCGGCAACCCTCATATGACTGAGTATAAAATGACTTGAAATGACTAAATATACATGAATTACTCGGGAATTTCCGGTTCTATTTTGAAATCACTCGGGAGGGCTTAAATAGCACCTCCGAGGTCATTTTTATACAAAAAACTTAAATCGAACGACATGATTTTGACATGATCTTCCTATCATAGACTTATTACATAAAAGAGGGTAAATAGGTGTATACCCTTCAGTTCGGTCGAGGAATGCACGGTGACTTGCGTGCTTGTTCGATGCTTGAATGCGTGCGTACTTGCTTCCTTTTTGCTTCGACCTTCCTTGGCTATTTTTGTATGATTTTTCTATGATATTTTCCTCACTATTTTTCCTCTACTGTTTGCTGAAGTTAGTCTCGGTTTTGCATGGAGAAAATGCATGAGAAACACCCACACGCACGGTTATTTATGATGGGTAAACAACGTGGGTTAACTTAGGTCAAAGAGGTGATGGATGATGAATTCTCCTCTTGACGACATGTGTTCCGGTCAAGTGCTGAGGTGTGGCCTGTTTGTCTTAGTCATTGCCGAGGTGGCGCGCATGCACGGGCTTAGTCATCGCCCGTGAGCTCGTGTAATGCCATGTGTGCAAGCTAGTAGGTGACTCACCACACAACTTGCACACCATGACTTATCCCTTGGCTAATCTCCACGGCAATGCTAAAGAAGGGGATTTGGGTTTGCTTAGCTTATATCATAATGTTTAGCTTAATATAAACTAATGATGGCGGTTACTTGGTGATGCGTGCGCTATGCACGGCAACGTGCACTACGCACGGTTACTCGCGCATACACGCACGCCAATGCACGGTGTGCGTGCGTGTGAACTGTGACTTGAATTTCCGAATGATGGACTTGAGTTCGAAATTAAATTCAAACATTCTTAACTTTTAATAATTAATCCCGATTAATAATATCCGTTTTTAAAATAAACGGTTCGGAAATTAATTATCAATTTCAATTCGGTTAATAATTAACCGATTAGACTTTTCGACTTAAAGTCGAACTTGATTGACTTAAATGCTGAAACTGAACGAGATTAATAAAAGAAAACATATCACTTTTATTAATAAGGAACTGGGTTATTACACTATCTACCACTACACCTTAATGTTCTCAACTCCTGATGGGGAGGGCACTCAATATTGGGATCAACAAGTGGTTCATGAATGTTCTGGTGATCCCCTCCAGAGAGATATACAAGCTTCAGGAGAAGGAAGTTTCTCCCTGAACCATGAAGGATCATCCACCAATCTCATGAAGACGAGACAAATTATTAGAAAGATCATAGATGTCTCTCCATCCAGCTAATCGATGGCTTATACCCCCATCTCCCATTCAAAGAAAAGTGAGCTAATCGGCTATATTCAGTTTCATGTCATACTTCCTCAGTGTTAAGAATGTTTCCCTCAAGTCACTCACATGGTCGGCCTCCTCCTTGCTTTTCACCAACATATCATCGACATAAACTACAATATTTCGCCCTAGCTGCTCCTTAAAAATCTCATCGACCAGCCTCTAATATGTTGCATCCGCATTTTTCAGACCAAATGGCATCACCACATAGCAATAAGTCTCCCTGCTCGTCACAAAACTCACCCTCTTCCTATCTTTTCGAGCCAAAGGAATCTGATGATATCCTTGGGACGTGTCTATCAAACTGAGCAGCTCACATCTTGCAGTAGAGTCGACCTGTTTGTCGATCCTTGGCAATGGGTATAAATCTTTCGGGCATGTCTTGTTCAAATCACGAAAATCAATACACACCCTTCATTTGCCCTCCGACTTAGACACCATCACCATGTTAGATAACCACTAACGGAACTAGATTTCCTTAATATGACCCGCCTTCAACAACTTCTCCACCTCTTGCTCGATCACCTTATCCATCTCTGCCTCGTGATGCCTTCTCTTCTGCTTCACCGGCCTCACAGTGAGATCGATATTCAATCAGTGCTCGATCAACTCTGCACAAATATCCGTCAACTCTTCACCGGCGTAGGCGAAAGTTTCCACAAAATCCCTTATCAATCCAATCAACCTCGACCTTATGGGCTCCTCCAATTCTTTCCCAATTCTGAACTTCCTCTCTTCATTACCCTCCGCCATTTTCATCACCTCCTCTGTCTTCTCCTTTTCCTTATCGGTCATCACCTTTTCCTCCCGTGACCTTGAACCACCAAGTTGATTTGGTATCTCACCCCCCGCCTTCACTTGCCTCTTTTCTAGTTGCTTATGTTACTCACTGTTGTTTGATAACAGCTCCTCGAGGTGAGCTGATCTCCAACGACCTCGCCAACATTTTCGCCCACCGGATATTTGATCGACATGTGGTACGTCGACACTACCGCCTGGAATGCATTCAAACTGGTTCTCCCCATGATAATGTTATATAATGATTCCGCTCTTACCACCACGAACTTCACCGTTCTCACCTTTATCGTTGCCCCTTTCCCTAAGGAAATGGATAAGCTTACATCTCCCATCGGCATGACCTCTCCCCCATTGAAGCCATAAAAGGCTGTGACCACCGGTTTCAGTTCAACATTCAACTCTTTGTTAATCTGCACAAAACAATCATAAAGCATGACATCAACCGAACTCCCCGTATCAATAAACTGTTAGAGGTATGCTGTAAAAGCTGTGTTTTGCAGTTTCTATCAATTCCATTTTGATCTGGCAATCATGTTTCGGTCAAAGTACATATGTTTGCAGTTTATTTATT